ACATTAACTCTGTTTTCTCCTTCACAGATGCTGCCAGACCTGCTGAGATTTTCCAGCAACTTTGTTTTTGTTTCTGATTTACAGCATCGGCAGTTCTTTTGGTTTTCAACTCATACCTATTGCTATCATGCAATAAACTAACCCTGTTAGGATATGTGCCTCTGTTCATTCAAACTCACTAGTCATTCATTCTCTACCACTATTAGGCAAAAATGTTTTTTGAGGAGGATAATAAGGAAGGTTGTGGTGCAGTGGTAGTGTCCTGAATACTGGGCTTGAAAGCCAGGCTCAGGTTCTATCTGTAAAAGTGTGTTACATCATGCCCAAACAGGTTGACTAAAATAACTGAAAAGGAGGATGGAGGTCTTGTGGTGCAGCGGGAGTGGCACTGCCCCAAGCCAGAAGTTCTAGGTTCAAGTCCCACTCCAGAACTTGATGGCTAAGAAGAATGCATTTAACTTATGCTTTTTCCAATTAACCTGTTCAGAAATGTTATTTTACACCTCTAAGGACACTACCACTGTGCCACAAGGTACCTGCATTTACCTTGTCTGAACAGATTGGTTTAAAAAAGGAGAATTGGTGGCAGCAATCAGTTAGTTCCACAACACACACAACATGGAGAGCACAATGTAAATTAATTTCCACTAAGTCTGTACACAAAACTTCAAAGACCGAGGGTAACCTAGGCCTTAATGACATTATTTGTCATTCTTTTATTATTAAGCTTTAGGTCAATACAATCAGCATTGAGTCATTTATTTTGATCTTTAGTGTGGTGCAATAAATTACTTAATTCCAAAAGCTGGGACATTTTCTGCTAAAATATAATCCTATAACATACATATAATGGATTAAGGTGTTTATTTATCATTAAAGATTTTAATATTTTGAACACTAATCAAGAACATGAAGGACCAAAAAGAATTTCAAACCCATTGTGCACACAGCATGTTAGATTTATGATTACAAACCATTCTCACACAGAATGAAGAAAGGTCTAGGCCCGAAACGTCAGCCTTCCTGCTCCTCTGATGCTGCTTGGCCTGCTGTGTTCATCCAGCTCTACACCTTGTTATCTCAGATTCTCCAGCATCTGCAGTTCCTGCTATCTCACACAGAATTAGTTTGTTTCAACAAAATTTAGAGACATCAAATGTGTGTGCGGTAAGTAATGCGAGCTGATTAATAGTCAAGAGCCAAAAAAAACGTTATTAATAACGTGATTCATGCATGAGGACTCCTACATACCTCTTTTGGAGATTTCTGTAGTCTTTCTTCATTTAAATAATATTCAACTCCCCTATTCTTCCTGCTAAAGTGCATAATCTCACATTTTGCCACACTATATCCCACCTACCAAATTTTTGCCCAATTGCTTAATCAGTTTATATCTCTCCTTTTGTGTCATCCTCACCACCTGCTTCCCACTTTTGTGCCCTCTGAAAACTTGGCTTTAGTATATTCACTTCTCTCATCCAAGTCATTAATATACATGTCAAACAGAATGAAGAGACAGTCAGGTCCATGACACACAAGGGAGAACAATAGCAATAGCAGTGCTGCCTCTCTGATCCCATTGCAAAGACGTTATTGAATGGCTACAGAATATTCTGAAAGGGAAGGGAGTACATGTCAGTATCAACAACATGTTAAAAAAAAATCAGATTCTGCAAGTTGGAGAGAGAGAGCACTACAAAATAAATTAAGCAAAACCTCAAAGATAATAATCTCAGGAATACTCCCAGGGCTGTGTGCTAGCCAGACCAGGAACACATATGCTTGACTGGAGGAATGGTATCGACAAAAGATTTAGATTCATGAGGCATTGGAGCCAATTCTGGTGGGGTGGGATCGTACAAACCAGCTGCAGGGGTGAGACAAATATCCTCAGAGACAATCTTTTAATTGTGAACCAAAGCCTACCTGAAAAAAACATAAGCAACAGGTTCCTGTGCCTTCATTTAAGATTTTAAATCATTAATATCAATAATCATTTGTTAGAGTTCTTTGAAGGAGTGTCACGCATTGTGGATAAAGGGAGGCTGTGCATGTACTGGAATTGGGTTTCCAGAGGACACTTGATGAAATGCCACATTAACAGCTATTGCAGAAAATAAATGCTCATGACATTGGGGTAACATGGAGAGAAGATTGGCTAGTTGGCAAAAAACAGAGAGCATGCCCAAATGGATCTTTATCTGCTTGGCGGGATGTGGCAGTGGAGTCCTGCAGGGGTCTGTGCGGGGCTTTAACTTTTTACAATTTACATCACAAAACTTAGACGAGGGGAGCGAAGGCACGGTAGCTAAATTTGCAGATAGCCTCAAAATAGGAAGGAAAGTATGTTGTGAAGAGGACATTATCAGGTTGCAATCAGATAAAGATTGGTTGAGTGAGTGGGCAGAAATCTGGCAGATGGAGTACAATGCAAGACATTTTGAAGTTGC